TCCCTCTGCTGTCAGTTGGTCTCCCAGGTCTTCCTTCCTCACACTGCCCTCCTCCAGGCTTTCACAGGGGTCTCCTGCTCCTCCTTGCCCTGAGCTCTCTGCAGCAGCCCTGTCCTACTGCACTGGGAGGCACTGCTGTTGAAGATCACAGAACGGCTCAGGTTGGAGGGGAGCTCAAAGCCATGGGCAGGGCTGCCCCCCAGCAGCTCAGCCTGCCCAGGGCGCCATCCCACCTGGCCTTGAGTGCCTGCAGGGTGCTGTCCCTGTGTGCAATGCTGCACTTCTGAATCAGAGCTGTGTTGTGCGATGCCAGCTGCGTGCCACGAGCCGTCCACAGGCTGCCCTAAGTTTCTGATAGAAGAGGCTGAGGTTCTTATTCCCAGGCTCTGGTGGAAGCTGTTTGAACAACTCAGGCTTTTCTGGATGTGCTTCACCCTTCCCATCCTCCATTTTGTAAGGTCTTCCTGCACGCAGCACTGGTGTTCTTTCCTGTGTTTGCTCTCTGAAGGGGCTGTAGGATTAAGCACGTGCCCTTCTGCACTCGTAGGGTATCTGGATCTCTGTAGGACCCCATTCCAGCATGGTGTACCCCATGGGTATCCCACTGTGAACTCAGGGCATTTGATTGCCACATGAACACCAGTTGGAGGATTATCTCTGCAAAGCCAGACTTTGCTTACTACCTCTCTTGTAGCAGCGCTCAGTTTTCCCTGTTAGATACCACAGAAGAAAAGGGAGATTGTCAAGTAGGGAGGGAATGGCAGAACTTTGTGTCATCTTGCAAGCTGCTAGAAAAAGCTGTTGGGTACTGAAATGTCAACCTGTGGCTGTGTTGATCAGATCTGTAACGAGATGTAGCCACATAATCTAATCTAATGAGGAATACCTTGAGCCAATGGGATATTTTGTAGAGAGCTGTACGAGGGTGGAAGTGCAGCTCTGGATTTCAGAAAGGACTTCACTCTGCTCTCGTGCTTTGTGCTGTTTGCAATCTGACTGAGCATCATTTTAAAGGAACAAAGTGCTCACCCCTGCCTTGGCATTTAGAGCAGAGAGGAATAGGGCTAACTTAACCCAGGGCTAAGTCAGCGTGCTTTGGACCTGATGTTGTAGCTGTTTGAGTTCTCCATCCTTTCAGAGTGTGCATTTCAGCATTTCACGTGGGAGGATGTGGCTTGAACGTATGCAGCTTTTTCTCAACTTGAGTGGCCTGAATGGCTGTGGCTTCTCTTGGCTGCACCTTGGGATGTTGGCTGCCAGTATTTGCTTGTAGACATCCAAACACCACTGCCAGCCCCCTGCCCTGCTCATCACCCACCAGCTAGTCTCAGTTAATTTTAAGCCATACTCTGTTCTGTACAAGGAAAGTTTTTGTTGGTCTGTTCTGTTGGCCCCGTTGAGATCTCTGCCCGCCGGTACGTTCCCTGCAAACCCTGGGCAGCCTGACAGCAGGAGGGAGACCTGTCCTCCAGTGATAACTAAGAAGTAAAGCCTTTCAACTCAGCAGGCCTGTATACAAAAGGGAAATCCTGGCATTCTTTCAGAGCTGCGGACTTGCAGAGCAGCAGTCAGGGCTCTTCTGCAAAATCGTGCTGCCCTAAAGCCAGCCAGCCCTACCCTGACTGCTGTGATGGGTGAACTGTGGGGAGAGGAGGTGCTGTGGAGCACCTCTGCCTGGACGTTGCTCCCAGCCGTGCCCGAGAGCAGCACTGACCCTGTCAGGCCGGGGCAGATTGCCTTCAGCTGGTTGCCCGCTGCTGTGAGCTGTGTCTGTTCTCATGTCTCGTAGTTTATTGCTCAGCATCTCAGCTTGAGTTCTGTGTACTGACTCCACCTAATCACAGCAAAAGGTTTGCCCATGTTTTAACCATGACGTTGCAATGTTTTTTCAGCTCCAAAAAGTAATCATTGGGAAACAGCATTTTTCAGTCCAATAATCAAGCACCTGGAATTAGCTTTCACATTGAGGTAATGGTGACTGACCTGTTCTCTATCATCCCATGGAGAAACTTCCCCAGTCATTTTGTACCATTATATAAATATATATATAAATATAAATATATAAATACAATATGTGAAGACATCTTATTGGTTTTTATTTGAAACAATTTTTAGGCTTGTTTTTGGGTATCTGTGCTGCCTGTAATGTATTGACCTGTTTTATAGGTGCCTTTTTATTAAAAAGACAAATTTCAAAACCTGACCTCTTGCCTCATGTCCGTGGTCTGTGTGATGTCCTGCAGGGTTGTTCACCGCAGCTGGAGCTTCCTTGCTGGGAAGTTGTGCTCTCAGCAGTCAGCAGGAGGTGCTTCCCATAGTCTGCATGGAGTGGATGGCCCGACCGCGCAGCTCCTGTGGTTCCTTGTCCTAAGGAGGATTTTGCTGCCTAAGTTGGGGCTGTGCTGTTCTGTCGCATCCTCTGCTGTACCACCAGTGGGTGTCCAACCTTTTGGCTTCCCTGGGCTGCATGTCCATAAGTCACTCTGAAAGTAATGCCTCCTATATATTTCCATGTAAACTGCAGTTGATACAGTGAGCACAGTAACACTGCTTGATAGAGCAAATTCTCGGCTAAAATGTGCTATTTTTCCAACAAAGTCCCTACTATGAGCAATGCATTCTGCTTGGTCTCCAGAAACATTCACCAAGCGTCAGTGGATATCAGTGGGTGCCATTTTTTCTGCGTGGAGGAATTCAATTCCACACCTTTGCTTCATCCTCACTTCCATGTCAGACACCATTGTGTCAGACTGCCCCTCTGCTGCCATCTGTCACACAGCAGCAACATGCAGTGGATCTTGGTGGGAAGGTTCCACCTCTACTGCTGCACCACCAGCATGCAGCTCTGATGTGGTGGACTGACATCATAAAACAGGAGGCATTACTTCAGAGCAGCCCTCAGAATACAGGATGTAGTCAATGTATGTAAGTAACAAAACATTTTAATCTTTAATGTTTTTATTAAAATGGTAAAAAGGGCAACAAAGCCATCAGACTAGTGGGCTATGTGACCTTGTTGTGAAGCTAAGGTCAGAGATTTTCAATGAAATATTTCTCTTCTTTCTGTGCCTCATCTCTGAACGTGGCTGCTCACAAACGTCTGTGCTGCCAAAGCCCCACGGCTTGGTCTCAGCCCACAGGGCGGTGTGGGGCAGAGCTGCCACCACGATGTGGGGCTGTGTGTCAGACATGGCTGCTCTCGCCTCTGTGGCTTGAAGCAGCTCTTCTTCAACTGCTGTCAGTGAGAAACAGCCTCATTTTCCTCTGTTCCCTGCTGCTGCGGATCCCGTCCAGCGCTGTTTGAGCACACCTGCTCCCAGCCACCCCTCCTGGGCAGCGGTGGGTGACGGCGTGGGGCCCAGCTGCGAGCACTGGGGCATCATTGTGAGGATGCAGGTCCTCTTCTTGATAAGGAAAATGAAACCCTGCGTGAGTCACAGCGAGCTGCACGAGGGCGGGTGGGGAGCCCCAGCTCTGCAGCACTCCCAGGCACGCGTTCATTCATGCATTCACTGGCTTTGTGCACGCTCTGCTGCCTGTCACGGCCCCACGGCCGCTGTGTGGGGCAGGGTGCTCTGCTAAAACTCCCCAGTGACGTCCCCTGAGCATCACGGGGAATAGGAAGCAGCGTGCTGCTGTAGGAGATGCTCTGCAGGGCTGGGCCGGGCCCTGGGGGATTGTTCATTCTGTGAATGCCTTACATTTCAGGAGTTTCCTTGTCAGGACAGAATCTGTAAGCAGCTCATTCAGACCTCTGCCTCAGCTGGCATAGTCTGACCTGACCCACTCTGTGATGCCTGCTGTCTTCAGGGTGACAAGATATGGTGAGGATATGGTGATTTAGACACAAAAATGCCTCCTGCAGTGGCAACACTGGTATTGTGCTAACTAAGCATAACAAGTGAAGTGAGCAGAACAGCAGATTGTAATGTGTTGCAGTGGTTGGGGTCATTCTCGTATGACAGTGTGAGTGTGACTGTCATTAAGTGGAGGCCAAAGCAATGCTTGGCTAATGAGAAAAATGTAAGGAAGCAACCCTGTGTACCTGCTGATATGTTTCTCTGACAAGACTTAGTAGGAAGCAGCAAGCTGCACAAGTCTGTTGGGGCTGCCCTGCGTGCCAGCTTGCAGTGCCATCATTAATGATGGTATAAAGCTGCCACTCTTGTTTCGGATCAGTTGCTGATGTTGCTGGATGCCCATGGTGCAGGGATTTTCTGTGTGAACCTGGATATTGGATGCACCCCATGCCCAAAGGCCCTGGTGTGTGCAGGTGGAGCAAGGATATCTGAAAGCACGGTTCTAAGCAAAATGCAGCACTGCCTCTCAGCCCACTGAAAACAAACAGAACTGATACAAATTAGGTCGTCTCCTATGTTTTACCATACTGTGGTGCAGAATGCACAAAGCGATGTACAAGGAGCTGCAAAAGGAAGAAGGGGAAAAAAAAAAAAGGTTACACCTTCAGCCTCACAAAGATGTGTGGTTCATTTTCTCCGTGCTCAGTCACAAGACTGAGCCATCTGTTCAGACAGTCATCTTTAAAAGACAGCTTTTGCATACTCAGGCATTTGCTTCAGCAAGTCGCTCGCTGTCGCTGTGAACAAATCAAGTGAACAGGGAAGGATGTGGCTGATGTCAGGAGAGGAATTTGCAGCAGTCAAACTCGAGTCCAAGGCCTCCTGGGGTGAGCTGTGCTGGGAAAAGCGATGTGCTGTGACTGGATGGCAGGACGTCATGCAGCAGGAGGAGCAATATTCCATCCACAGACCGTGTGGCCTTTGTCACTGGGATGAGCTCTGTGTCTGATGGTCTTACCCGCATCTCTTGCTCTAGCTACCATGGCAATTGTCCCCCACTGCTTCCTTTGGGCATGTCTTCAGTGACGTGAGCAGGTGAGATGGGAACCTGCTTTGTCCTCTCCTCAGCCCTCACTCACTGATGCAGCTCCACTTCCACTTGGCTGTGCGTTTTTCCTGCCCTCCCCCCCGCCCCGTGACTCAGTTTTGCATCTGGCTCTGTGCACAGGACTCCTGCAGTCAGTTTGGTGATGGAGATGTGGCAACAACAGGCTCAACCTGCTTTGGTTCCTCCATCCCTGCCAGAGACAATCGGACAGTCGGCATTTGCCAACAGCTGCCAGACAGATTTTGGTACATATGTAACCAGAAGGAACCACAGAAGCGATGCGGTGGGATTTGGGTGTTAGGTGGCTATCAGACCTCGGTTTCCCAAGGAATGAAGAGAGTGGTGGGGACACTTGTAAAACTTAGGACTGGGACACAGCACATACGCTACTGGGCAGGCCATTTCGGTCCTGCAGCAACCTTTCTGAGTTAGAAAGTGGAGATGGAGGTGGTGTTGTCAGACTCGATTCCGCAGCCCTTCCTTGTCACCTCTAGGATCTCTTGTAGGGTCTCCTGGCTCATGCAGCCCAGCTCGTGCAGGATACGGAAGAAGTCATTACGGAACTTGACTCCTATGAAGGCATAAATGATGGGGTTGAGGCAGCAGTGCGTGAAGCCGATGGCCTCCGTCACCATGATGGCGGTGTCCAGCTGATCCTCCAGCAGGCAGTTCTTGGTGAAGGCTTCTAGCTTGGTAAGAGTGTTCAGAAAGATGACGATGTGGTACGGGCTCCAGCAGAGCAGGAACACACCGGTGACCAGGATGGCTACACGGACAGCTTTCTGCCTTTGCAGGCGCTGGGAATGACACAGAGTGCGGACGATGGCCATGTAGCAGTAACACATGACCAGCAGGGGCATGAAGAAACCCACGCTGTGGTACAGGAAGCGAGTTGCCAGCCACACGTTGTTGCCATGAATCCCAGCCTCCGGAAAATAGCAAATGCTGCGGTTGCTCTCATCTGTCCAGACTTCCATGAAGATGAGATCGGGTAAGGTCAGGAGCAGGGAGGAGAGCCAGATGGCCGTGCAGGTGAGGTGGATGGAGCGAGCTCTGCGCTTGCGGTAGGTGTGGATCGCGTACACGATGGCCAAGTAGCGGTCCACCGCGATGCAGCCCAGCAGCATGCTACTGCAGTAGAAATTGATCTTGTGGACCGCACTGAGGATCTTGCAGAGGAAAGTCCCAAATACCCACCCAGCCAGGCTTTCAACCACGCTGAAGGGGAAGGTGAGCAGCAGTGCCAGGTTGGCCAGGGTGAGGTGGAAGAGGAAGTTTTCCGTGGTTGTTCGAGAGCGTTTGAACCTCTCTAAAATGACAAGGACCAGGGCATTGCCCACAGTTCCCAACACGAACATAAGCAGATAGGCGAGCGGTATGAAGACCTTCCTGAAGGGGTCTCTCTGGTTGCCAACCACAGATGAGGCCGGATTGAAGCAAAAGTAGCCTTCCAAAGAAGGAGTGCTGTTCTCAGCCTCGTAGTAACCGCTCAGCTCCACCTGGCTCTGGAGAACAGAGAGTCTGGTTACAGGAGGGCAGTTTCTGAACACAAGAACCCCATCACCGAAATCTCCCCCTGTGAGGGGCTGCACACTCCCTAATTGCCAGCTAGCACACTTGGGGATACTCTGGCTTCCAGCAGAACCACTTTCAATTCTGTTTTTTGCTGAGCTATTTGCTGGAGGCATTTGATTTTTTACAACACACAGAACTCTTTGACTTTTTTCCCACCTATCTGTAGCACAGCCTGTCCTGCCTGCTGACAGGTACAAAACGACTGGAGGAGTGAATGCATCAGAGGAACTGGGATGCCACAGCTACCAGCATGATTCTGGGAAGGGAAATCTGCTTGCTGATGAACTCTGTGGTTCTGAATTAATTGCAGTCAAAGCCAGAAACAGAATCTGAAAACACCACTCAGACCTTGGGCTGACAGCCGGTAAGGAAAGCGTGGCAGAGCTGCTGCAGATGGTGGGCATGCTCTGTCCTCAGGCACTTGGCAGAAACTTGCTGCTAACAAAAGCAAAGGGCTCAGATGTACACTCAGCACGGGAGGCTTGTGGCAAGCTCAGCCATCACTGACAAAACGGGAAGAGCTTCACAATAGTTGTTTTGCACTCCCCCACCCACAGCCTCTCTGGAGACCAGCCCTGAGACTTCGGCATCAACCACAGAGGAAGTCTTTGCTTGCTGCTTTCATACCTTTCACTGCCAGCTGTGGCTGTTTGCACCTGCTGCGCCTTCACTCGGCAGCCAAAGTTCCCATCTAAAAATACCAGCCCTGCTTTAGACAGCTTTAGAGCTAATTTGGGGGAATTTTTTGCCCTTTCCTCCTCTCCCTGCATGTGCTAAGTCAAGTGACTGCAAGTAACCTCAAGTCCTGCACTGTACCTCGTTAGAAAGGGTGATCGCGTTTATTCTCAGTTAAAAGCCTTCCCCGTGTGATGTGCTGGATGCCTCTGCAAGCAACCTTCTCAGGTAAGGAGCTGATGTGGCAGTGCTCAACTCAAACTGCTGCACTGCTGAAACCACATGTGTGACTTCAAGGGGAGCCTGGGGGTGTTGGAGAAGGCGAAGTCTACAGAGCATTACTGAATGTGTGCAAAAGGCTTGGGTGATCTTCAGGTAGTGAAAGGTAGCAGGGTAAGCAATTCCTTGGGGAAAATGTCAAATCATAGGATGGTTTGAGTTGGAAGAGACTCTCAAAGGCCGCCTGGTGCCGCTCCCTGCAGTGCACAGGGACACCCAGAGCTCAGCAGTGCTCACAGCCCCGTCCAGCCTTGGCTGTCTGCTGGCACGGGGCATCTGCCACCTCACTGAGCAATTTGACACAATGACCAAACTGGGCTGCTCAGGACTTGGAGTGATTATGCTGGAGAATCCCAAGGGGAACAAGTTAGACTAGGTATAGCTTAACTGGAGAGAGGTTGAACAACTCCAGTTTCAAAGGGAAAAATGAAACGATGGGTGGATGGGTGTGCTGGCCAGAATGCTGGAGCTGCAGGTGAGAGATGCGTGTGTTGTTAAAAGGCTTTGGCTGCAGAATGGTTTCCAGTGTCACCCTACAGTCAGAGCTGGAGGTGCAGAGGCCACTATCAGCCACCATCTGATTGCAGATAAGATGGCAGGTAGGGCTCTTACTGTAAGCCACTCGCTGCGGGCAGAGGAAGTGTGAGCAGAGCTGTATCTGAGGCATCCTCTCATGTGCATCTCCGAGCAATGAGTGTGGGTGGGAGCAAGCAGAGATGAGTTGAAGATGAACATGAAAGGATGAAACGTGTGCATCCAGGCTCAGATTGAAAGGGCAGATGACCAGAGCTGCAGGAGATGCACCGAATGCAACAAGCCAAACCTTGTGCTGTGATTGCTCCCTTAAGACTGGAAGCATGTGGCCACCTGACCTGGAAATAGTCCACACGTGGCCACCTTCACAAAGGTAGTAACAGCCAGAGCAATTTGTGTGTGTGCTCTGCTGGGGAAACACAAAAGTGAAGTGGGGCCTTTTCCTGAAACTAAGCAGTACAATGCATGCGTGCATTTGTGCAATGGGAGGCACGATCCTGTCACATTCAGGGATCCCCTCTATCCCACACTGCAGAGTCACGCAGGCCTCCTCTGCACGTCAGCTGCTTTTCTCAGTTTTGCACAACTGCCAGCAGTCAAAACATTTGCCTGTAGAAGAGCAGCAGCAGTCTGTGTGCTATTAGGGATTTTCCAAGTGACTCATTCCCTTCTAGCCCATCCAGGGCCAGGAGAAGCATCTCGCATTCCCAAAGCCTTATAACAGAAATTGCCCGCATTGGTGTGCAGTTCTGCAAGCTACTGACAGCAATCCTGTTCCTCAGCTCTCTAGGGGCTGAAGTGGAGAAACACATACATAAGAGCATCATGCCATGCTGATGCCTGTTTGCCTCTTGAGCCACGTTGGTCCTGTGATAAGAATTGGCCTTCAGTACCAGGGAAGACCACACGGAGATCTCAGTGGTCCTTCTGCAGTGTTTTTCTCTGTGTAGCCTGCAGCTAGGGAAGGTTAAGCAGGCAAAGTTGTTTTGCTATGGAGAATTGGGGTCATAACTTTGCAAAGCTTGGTCAGGGCTCCTGCTGCACTTGCTGGGCAATACTGAGATAAATGCCCACTCAGTGCAAACATGCCAATTGTTTTCAGCCTGCATTTGTCCTGTTGGTCAGCTGGTCCTCTCCTGTTAGTGCAGGTTTGTGTCATTGCTTTGTTAGAACAGCACTGAGGCCTTTGCAGATCTCTCTGGACACGCTGTGGATGCAATCACTGCATGTGGCAATGTGCGGCACCCCCAAACCACACGTGGCGCTGCTCTGTGTGACCTATGGTCACAGGGAGGAACAAACCCTGTTTGCCATGGCTTTTTTATGCTGGATAAATTAGAACAAATAAAAAGGATAGGGGAGGCCCCTTCCCACTTAGTTCTTTTTTCCCCGTTGTATATGAAAGAGACAGAAAAATAGGTAAAAATTAAATCTGGCATTTCTCTCCGAGACAGAAAATAAACAAAAACTGAGGTCTGCCTCAAAGAGCCACGATATGAAAACAGAAATTCTGAGTTGCAACGTTATAGAATCTGGCTAATGATAGCACTGCTGTGGACTTCCCCTGAGGCAGCACAATGCGCTCTAAAAGGTACAGCTGCTGTCTTTGACCTGCAACCTTAGTTCTGAGAACTACGGGGCAGAATATGCTGTCATCAGTCTCAGAAGAAGTGTCTGCAATTTATCTTCCTCGTTTTCTAATTCCCTTCTCGTAAGTTAAGTATTTCCCTCCCAGTGAAGCCTCGGGCAGCCTGCTCACAGAAGGCAGGCTTTATCCTTACGCTGTGTCCATGCCAACAGCTGTGCTGACAGCAGAGTTGAGTTTCCCTATGGGATCCCAGCTGGGAAGCATTCGGACCAACGGGCAGCATGGAGCAGAAGATGGCATCGGCCAGGCTGTCCTGGGGAGGCTCTGGCCATTCCCACAGGAGTTGGGGATTTGGGGGTTTCAGCACAGGAACATTTTGCACCCCCTGACTGTCAGGGGTTGCATTGCATTAGCGCTCCACAAACACAACAGTGTCATTTTTAAGTTCCTCCATCCTTCAAGTCCAGAATTAAGGGATATAAAATCTAATTGCATGGACGTAAGTAATTGCTCAGGTCCTCTTGCTCCTAACAGAAGCCACGAGAAGATGGTGACATTGCAACCAGGTCCTTCAGCCCACCCGCAGCTCTGCCAGCTCTACCCCCTTGCTCTCTCCAACAAGCCAAGTCAGGCCAAACTCACCAAGTCGTAGGTCTCTGATGAGTAGCTGACAGGCCCCATGGTGTCAGGATCTGCCTCTCCTCCAGCAGGTCAGAAAAGTTCTTCTTTTTCGGGGTGGAGTTAGTCATTTAAGTGAGCAGGGAGGGACCCAGCAAGTAACAATACAGTATTTGCAAGGCAAATGAGCTCCAAGTAAAGGGTGACCTATATGTTGTAGAGATTGGCCTCTCGCTTTATCACTTTTTCTTAAGTGTTTTGATTTTCACAGTGAAGCTTGAAAACTCCACATTCCTTTGGCCTGTAACGAGAAGGATCCATGAGGTCCATAATTCCATCCTGCAAACCTCCAGTGCTCTTGGCTGCTGCTGTCCTAGGCCAGGGCTACCTGAAGCTCTGTGCCCCACCGAAATCTCACCAGGTCTGGATGCCCTCTGGAGGTTTGTAACACTTTGCAGACACCATTAATTACATCTGCATCACCTTTATCCTCTGCTGGGGTCTTCCTGGCCTCAGCCTCAGGGACCTAGAGCCGTTCTCCATCTCCTCCTGCCGCTTCACCCCTTGTTGCGCTCATACTGCAGTGCAGACCTTGCTGATGGAAAGCGCTGCCTCAGTGGCTGCAATGGCTGCACTGCAGTTCTGGGGAAGGGCAGAGGCTTCTAACGAATTGAGAAGTTAACTGAAAGTTTCTAATCCGAGGAAGGCAGGCACAAGCGTGCTGGAGCCTCTGTTTGAGCAAGAAGGCTGGCAGGAGTCACACCGGTGAGGAAGGTGACATTACTCTGGCAGTCACTATTGGATTTTGTCTCTTTGTGGTTCTCAGCAGGAGGCGTCTCCCAGGCTGTGAGTCCAGCCCTTAGAAGTGGGCTGGGGATGAACAGGTTTCAGGGAATGCACTCTGAGGTCACAGGCAACAATTTCCCTTGCAAGTACATACTGCACTGTGTGATTGCTACCACAGATGAAGCACTGGATCCGTGCGATGCTATGCTGTTAAATGTAGGAAAAGTGACAGAGAGGAAAACATGGACGAAAAATAAGTAGAGATAAAATACAGTTAAATTAAAAACAATGCCATTTTACAGGATACTAGCAGGTAAGCGACCCATAATTGAGTAAAACTATAATTAAATTCAACAATAAAATTTGAGGACTGTTTTGGAGCCTGTGCATAGCAGCTCCTGGCTGAACTCTGACATTCTGCTGCAGATAAATACTCTAGCTGGAGAACTGATTGTACATTACGACAAACAAAAAAGGTTAACTTGTACAAGGTTTCCTGATAGTAGGAAATGAGCTGTATAAAAAGATGACAAAATGCCCTCCTTGAGGATGATCTACTCTGTAACTACCAAGCATTTCAACTGACCAGTTTGACACTATACTGACTTTCTGAGCCAAATCTGTTCTGACTCCTGGATCTTCTCTCTGATGTTTTCAGTCATCTCATTTGTTGTTATCATCAGAAATAAAGCTTTGCAAACCCAGCCAGATTTACCCATCTGTTAACTACTGCTGTCATTTGCTTTTTTAAGGTTGGTGCACCAACCTATTTCCTGCATCTCTCTCTGCAAAGCACAATGCCTAGCTCTGCTGAGAGCTGAGGAAAAGCACCCAGGCAGCACAGATGTAGCAGAGACCTCTCCAGCAGGGATTGCTGTGCCCAGCAGCCAGCCAGCAGCACGGCATAGGTGAGATGTTCCCCTGGCAAAGGAAGGCACAAAGTCTATCTTCAGGTTCCTGCTTCTCTCGTCATGCACGGAACGGAAGCTTAAAAAGGAGGACATCATGTGGGAGAGAGGATGAGAAAGGATTTGGGGAGCCCTCTGCACTGGAATGATGACTGACATGGCAAGGGGTCTGCAGCACAGTGAGTGGTCTGGGAGTGAATAACTTAATAATGAGGCTTGTTTATGGTGAGAATACAAAATAACTACATGAGAAGGGTTCTAGGCATGACAGAGATGATTGTGCTGTCTGTGGCAGAAAATGTGTAATTGCTTTCAAATTAAATGGAATAACTGAAAAAAAAATATTAAGATTCTCTGCTTCTATCCTCAGTGCATTGTTGGAGGTTGGACTCCATTTGGAATCACTCGGCCCCATCCAGACTTTGCGAAGAAAAACAGCCCCAGAAGAAGTGAATTCATTCTCATCTATTCTGGAAAGCAGAACAGCAGCATACGCTGCGTACACGTTGGTTTTGAGGGTAGAGATAAAACAATGATCTAAAACTGGTGGATGTGAGGAACAAGGAGAAAAATAAACATCATGAGAGAAAAACAAGTGGATTTCCTTTTTATGGGGAAAAAAAGAGGAAAAAAAAGAAAAAAAAAAAGGAAAAAAGGAAAAGCAAAAAAAAAAATGAGAAAAAAGAAAAAAAGGGGGGAAAAAAGGGAAAAAGGGGGAAAAAAGAGGGAAAAAGTGGGAGGAAAGGAGGGGAGGGAAAAAAAAAAAAAAAAAAAAAAAGGAAGAGAAAAATAGGAAAAAAGAGGAAAAAAAACGTGGGTGGGAAGAGTCAGCACTACAGCTCCTCCAGCGCCACTTCGCTGCGCAACCCGCCCTTTCCCCCGGAAGTTCCACCCAGCAGGCGGACCGGAAGTGCGCCAACGAGCCGTGATCCCGCCCCGCGCCTCAGCTCACGTGACCGAGGGAGCACCGCCCGGGGGCCTACGCGTGGCGTGCGTGCGGACGTTCGTGCGTGCGAGGCGGGGCGACGTGCCGTGCCCAACCCTGCCGGGAGGGGGAGGGCGCACGGGAGGAAGGAGGAAGCCGCCATCTTGGAGC